TTGAACTTATGTAATTATACTTCAGGAAGGGAAGTAAAATATGTTTAATTATAGGCAGATGTGTATTATATAAAGAAAACAATGTTAAAAATAAAAATGTACTTCTCACCTAAGGAGCAAGAGGGTGATGGTCAGAGAGATGTCACATTGAATTCCATGAGAGAAACAATTTAGAGGTTTTTCCTAGCATCATGAATTGTTCTATAGAGTGGATGAAGCCTATGAAAAGGTCCTCTTCATATATTTCCATTTATAAGCGTCTCGTTTTTGAAAGTGATCACAGCATGAAAATGACTGTGCTGCTTTTTAGTGTCTGGCTGCATAACGTGCAAGTCACAATTTGCTGTTTTTTCCAGGAGGAGGAAGGGACCCTCCTTTACTATTCTATATCCTAAAATCTACTTCTAATCAGCTTTATACTGTTGCCTGTACAGCTCAGTGAATGTACTTACATCTTTAAGAGTTCAGATATATGCCAGTGAATATTTTTGCTGTAGAGGAGAAAGTAAAACTCCACAGTGGGGATCTTTTTTCTTTGCTTTTGAAACCACCATTGAATCACTATCGTTTTGCAGACTTTGCACAACTGTACAGGAGAGTGGCCTTTCTACAGCACATTTTCAGTAATCCTGTATTTAGTCAAAATGGATGAGAAATCATGTATTAATGTTTGTATGGAATTTTGGGTCCAGTGTAATATTTTTATCATTTAAAAACTCTATTTGTAAAAACATTTATTTACTGCATGGATATTGATGCACATTAAATTTGTGGGATTTTGTATATGTAAAAACAAAACAAACAAACAAACAAAAACCTCTTGTCCTAAAATGAAGTGTGCTTGTTACAGGTGTTTAGACTTATTGATGTTTACTAGACCAAATGTGTATGTTAATTTAAAAATATTTGTATCTGATGGATGTGTCACGTAAACAGGAGCCAGGTTATGGCCTGTAAACAGCAAGCAGTTGATGGGAAGACTAGCTCTGTTGCTACTAAGCAGCTTCTACTTTTGTAAAGTCAGCTCTGTTGTTTAAATGGTAAAAATTAAACTAATGAAACGTTACAAGACTCGTGGTTAGCCTAGCATGAAAGAGATCTTTTAACACTATATATCTGTACAATTTATTGCATTAGTTTCAAATCTAGGAGAGAGGCACCATTGTAAACTGAAGTCAAATAAATTCAGCTCTTAATGAATCCTTATAAAGCACCTACTTTATTCATGCAAAGTCCTTACCACATTTCTTTGTGACCTAATCACACAACCACCAGCACTAGCACCACCCCAGTTATGAGTTCCAATTTTGCCACCTCCTTGTTGGCACAAGCCAGAAGGAAAACCTGTCTCAAGCTTTCAAGTATCTTCTCTGAGACCTTGAAAAATCAATCTGGTTTCCCACTTACCTACACAAATGGGAAAAACTTCACCTATTCTTCTTTCCTTTCTCTGTGATTCTTTTGGGGGAAGTGGGGAGAATCCACCAAAAAAAATAAGTTAATTATTTTTTTTTTACGAATCCAGACTATTGTTGCTAAGGTTTGCTGAAATATGACTTTAAACCAGTGAATTACCTGAAGCCAGTACAAAAGCAGACTAGAGGTGGAAACCAGGGATGGAAAGATTTAACCAAGGATACTGTCTCAAAGAAAGTGCTTCTGAGATTTTTCCCCCTCTCAGTTTCCTATTTTTATGGAACTATCAGAGCAGAACTATAATTGTGGCTCTGGTTCATAAAATCATAGTTATCCCTACAATGATTTCATACTGCTTAACCAAGGCACTTTTCCTTCACTATTTATTCTGATAATGCCATCTTCTAGGAGTATTTATTACAGCTTTTATAGCCAACAATTTTCTGGGATTTGTATATAACTTTGTGAACATTTTTGACCTTTTTGTGGGGAGGGAGCAGGAAGCTATTAACTATTTGGCATCTAGGGAAACACTTTAAGAGGGGAAATAGGGCTCATTTTATTTTCAAAATACCAGTTCATTGAAGCTGATTCATATATCCTTCCACGTGACCTCTCCTGTCTCCCATTCTCAGCTGTTTCCCTTTAGCCAATGCCTCTTTTACCTCCTCAATCTTCAGAAGCCACTCTGCTATCAGAATTCCACTGTGGAAAAGCCCATCTGTTGCACGACTTTTTCCTTCATCCTCCCTGAGACAGAGACTAGATTAACCCAGCATTAAACCTAGAAAGTCTCCAGGCCCTTCCTCCCTTTCTTCATCCCCACCCTCAGTCAGCTGCAGCACCGCGCACTGTAGGCCACTCCAGGCCCAGGGCAGCGCGCAGCTGATGTCCTCCCAGCGGTCGAGGTCCAGGTCGTAACCCACCACATTACGGGTAGGCACCTGGCGCGAGTCCCGCCACTTGAGGCCGCCCAGCAGCAGCACAGTCTCCTCCACCACTGCCAACCCATAGCAGAAGCGGTCATAGGGCAGTGGCCTCAACCGAGTCCACTGATCCGAACCAGGGTCATAGCGCTCGATCTCGGAGAAGGGTTCATATCGTCCCAGAAAGGCAAACACTGCGCCTCGCAGCACCGCCAGTTGGTGCCCGAAGCGGGCTGTGCCCATGGGCGCCTTCTTGCTCCATATCCGCTCCCCAGGGCCCAGGGCATACAAGTCCCGGAGGCTACTAGCACCGCCCTCACCTCTCCCCGCCTTGCCCCCAGAGATGTACACAACATCCCGGTCTCCAACGGCCCCTGCATGGCCATGCAGCGCCCGAGGCAGCGTCGCAGCTGCAGTCCAGCGGTCCCTGCGCAGGTCGTACATCTCCACCGAGGCCAGAGCTTCACCACTAGCTCCTAGGCCTCCAACAGCCAAAAGAGACTCGCCCACCACACCGCACCAGAAGTAGGCGCGCGCTTCTCTCATGTCGGGCACCGCGGTCCAAGCGTGGAATCGCGGGTCATAACGGTGCACTTGGGCCGTGACCGCCCATGGGCCATCAGCCAGGGGAGTGGAGGGGCTGCCAAAAGAAGTCTCCCCACCCAGGACAAACAGAAAGTTACCCACGGTACACACGCTGTGCCCCAGCAGTGGTGCAGGCAGCCGCGTGAGGCTGCGCCAACGGTGGTTGTACACGTCAAAGGCCACCACGTCCTGGGTGACCTCCCACTCCTTTTCTTCCTCCTCCATCTCTTCTTCTTCCTCCTCCTCCTCCTCCTGGGGTTCAGCTGCTGGGCCTGGGTGCCTGGCTGCTACCCGTGGAACCACGACCTCCTCTATCACCGCCTCCCGCCCCCTGCGACCCCCGATCAACAAGATGCGGGTCTGGGGGCTCCGGATGCTAGTCTGTTCACAGTGTAGGAGCGGCTGGCGGGAGGGTGCTGTATGATAGTTAAGGGCCTGGATGATGAGGCCCTTGACCCGAGCGGGCAGGGCAAGACCAGAGCCTGAGTATACACGCCTTAGGACCTCAGGGGGCACCAGGCCAAAACGTATACGTTCAAGCAGCGCAGCACTGTGCGCCAGGCGCTCGGCTGCTGGCTCCTGCCGCAGCCAGGCCAGCGTCAGACCCAACAACCGGGCCTCGGGCACCCGTGCCACGTCGGGGTCACCTAGCATGGCCTTTAGGGACGCTGGATTCAGTTCCAGCAGCCCCGCGGGCCCCACACCCAGCGCAAGCAGCTCCCGCAAGTGGCGCACGATGCAGCGCTCAGCCGCGCCCAATGTATGAGCCAGGCCAAAGCGCGCTGCCACGTTGGCGGTGAAGCAGCAGTTCTCTGGGGCCAGCTGACGCTCCAGGTAGCGACCACACAACCCCAAGGCCTCGGTGACTTGCAGGTAGCTAGCGGCCTCCAGAGTGTCCTCCACGGTATCCATGGAGAGAGGCAGCCAGGCAGTGTAGATGAAGTCCAATAAGCGCTGCAGGCCGGCCGCCGACGGCACGTGCAGGTGGATCACGCGCGCCCGTGATTCCCGGGTGTGGCTCTTGAACAGCGCCCTGAAGTAATCGCTGGAGCACGCAAGCAGAGACCTGTGCGCCGGGAACTCGCTGCCCTCGGCCTCCAGTGTCACGTCGCACAAGAAGCCCTCGGCGCGCAGGGCCTGGTAGCCGGTGAGCAGCGCGCCGCCGTGAGCTTTGCAGTAAGACAGGAAGTAACTCATGATGCCCTGGGCGGGAAACAGCCGGTCCGGGAATGGAGCCAGCCGGCGCGGCTGGAGACATCCCAGGGCACGGAACCCCCAAAGCCCCTGAAGGAGTGGCAAAGGCCCTAGCAGGCCATTTTTGCCGGCTCAGCTTAAAGCCCAGGGCGCTTTCATCCAGGACCGCCCGCTGGTCGCCCCGTGCCCCTCTCAGAGAAAATCTGGTCTGAGAACTGTTTCCAGAAGTCCCTAGTAGCCGAGGACGCGAAATTTGGAGTCTTCCAGGGGATGTGGGGCTTGGTTTCAGAGGCTGTGAAGGCTGCCAGCGCGTTGCCCAAAGCCCCCTCCTCTGCCCAATTTAGGTAACCCACACCTACGCACCAGGGGCGGCGGTGGCCGCGCACCATCACCTGGAAGGGCCGAGCTGCCGGTGGCCAGCGGAGGTACAAGATATCCGACGGCCCCAAAACGCAGATGCAGCCCGACTGCGGGCGTTCTGGTAGTGTGGGGCGAGGGTTCTGACCTCCTGGTTGTGGACGAGTAGGACGGGTTCTGAGGGCACCCAGGAGGGCCAGAGACAACTGGCTACGGGGCAGAGGGGGGTGAGCATGTTCCGCGTAGAGGATCAAATCAAGGCCTAGGGGATTAGACTAGGGGACGGGGGAGGGCCGCAGGTCAGCTCAGCGCGCAGCTAGTTGAAAGCGTGATTGGGCGCCGCACATAACATGCTGGTAGCTCACAGTGACAGGAATAGCGCGCCACCTCGGTCTGTCTAGCGCGCCCCGCCCCAACTGCTGGCTGCGAACAGAGGGTGGGGGCCCAAGAGAAAGCGAACCGGACCAGGGACCTGATTCGGGTGGCCCGACTGGCCGCTAGTCACCAGGAGTGTTTCTGTACCTTGGTTATTGTTAGGGAGCGAACGCTCCTGTGAGGTGCAAGTCTCCAGAGAGCCTCAACTTGGTGGTGTCCAGGAAGAGGCGCCCTGCTGGGCAGGACGACTGTCGACCTTCTGGTGCCTGCCGCTGTGCCCGGGAAGGAAGCCCCTGGATCAGCTTTCTGCTTTAAAGAGGCCCTAATGTGTCTGGAGCTAGCGGGAATTAAACGGTGACTTTGCGCGCTGACACCCAGCAGGGCTGCTATGCACAAAGGAGACTTCCGAAAAAGGTCTCCTGGACAAATCCAGGCTTCCAGCCAGGGGCGCTGAGTAACGCTCTACTCACCTGGGCTCACCCATGCATGCGATATACTGGGCCTACTCTGTGCCCTTCCCAAGGCAGGTCATGTCTCTGAGGATGCCTCTTTTCATATTCCCCATTTGGGAATTTGCTCCCACCGCTTCGCCACCGCCCCAGCTGAGTTCTTTCTTTCCATTCTTGGACCCTGCTCAACCCATCCCTTTGCAACATGGACAAGGAAATTGTAGCTGACTTGGATTTTCTTTGGCCACTTCCTTTAAAAGAAATAATTCTTTATAGTTTTCTCTCCCTGTTTTTCCATGTCTGATCTAATTACTGGCTGCTACATCCCCAATGCCATGAAAATGAGCAGGAAGATAGCAAAGCTCCATAGAGCTGGAGCTTCTTGGGAGGACTCCTCCTGGTGAAGTTATTTTTATAAGAAACACCCAGCACAGAAATTATGACTAAAAGTACCCCAATGTTGAGACATTAGGAGAGTCTGTCCATCTCCTGCTTCCTGCTCTTAAATAACTAAATGATTGATATAACTGATCTCTCTTGCCAATTTGGAAGCTTCTGTGTGTTTGCTTTCATCTAGAATTGATTTTTCTGTTTTCTAGTGCAATTCCTCTGGCAGTCTATTTTAAGTGAACTTTTTGAAGGCATCTGAAATAACTTGTATTTCTGGCAGTTGGGGTTGTATTTCATGGGTGGGGGGAGTCTGTCATTTCCTGCTTAGTGTGCCACCAGTACTTAAAAGGTCTCCTATTAGAAATAATTCTTTAAATGCATAAAAATATTAGAAAAAGAATTTTGCTTTCAAAGGTAGAAGTGCATTATAAGTTAAATTACCAAATTACAAAGTGCAGGCAGAGGCTGGGCTGGGCTTCCTTAAACTAAAGTGCTCCAATATGAATTCCTAATGTTATAGCTACAGATGGGTTCAGAGAGGGTATATTCATTTGTAGATATTTGGATAGGGGTTAATATTAAAATTCTGGGTTCAAAAGTAAAATATCAGTATGGTTCACTTTGCACAGATCTGTATTTTGAATTTACATGGCCTTTATTCAACACAACTGAATTTTGCTAGAATGGATTTTTTTTAGATCATTTAGCCAAACCTTGTCCCTTTTCTCTAAAACCTACTTTAGTTTTAAACAATAATGACAAATGAGCCCCAGAGAGAGTATGGTTTGTCTGGATGGCTTGGATATTTAGTTACAGAATCTGGACAAGAATCCAGTGCTCCCTTCCCACTATGTGACCTTGTGTATGATAATAAAATAGTGCCACACACTTTATTTAAACCAACTATTTTGGGGTAATAAAATATGATTATTGCCTTATCAATTTAAAATCATTTAAATGTTTTTTAAACAGCATATTTTTAACCCAGAAACTGGATCACGTCACTTCAGAACTGCCCATCACTGCATTCCAGCCAAATCCAAAATGTCACTCTTCAGATGCTATTGAAAACTTTACATTTTAACATCAAAAATCCAGTTCTACACAACAAGTATGTGTTTGTTACTCACCAATATGTTTTGCCAGTGAGGATATAATGAAGTATGTTAACTGAAGACATTTTGATATTAGATATATTTATAAGAACTTATTTAGAAAATGTTTTAACTGTCAACCCAAGGAAATCAGTATCTTTGAGTAATGTTTATGTTGTGCCAGTATTGTAATTTCTGTGCAATATTAAGTATGCTAAATAAAATTTCAATGTGTTTTTAAATTGTGGAGGATGTGTGTCTTAAATTAGTTTCTAAGTCCATTTAGGCTACTATAACAAAACACACCTCTCAAGGGGTAATTTATAGTGCTGTCACATTAGGGAGTCACATATGAATTTGGTTAACATAATTGTACATGTTTTAAAAAATTCAAAGCTATAAACTTTCATGTACAATGGACATTATAATTTTTTTACAAATATAATGTTCTCTTTTAGGTAACAGAATTAAGATATAATCAGCCTACCATAGAATTTGCCCACGTAAAGTTTACAGTTCAGTGTTTCTTAGTATATTCCCAAAGTTGTACAGCCATCAGTCTCTAAATTTAGAATATTTTCTTCACCTCAAAAAGAAATCCTTTACTCTTCTGCTGTCATTTCCCTATACCATCAGCCCCCAGGCTCTAAGCAGTCACTAATATACTTTCTTTCTGTATATACTCTGGACATTCCATATAAATATTACAATACATGATCTTTTGTAACCAATTTGTTTCACTTAGCATGTTTTTAAGATTTGTCTATTGTAATGCACTTTTGAGGAATAAAAAGACTATATAATGATAATATTGGGAACCTTTTCTCAAAACCACAAAATTCTAAATTTTACCTATCAGATATTTAGGATCTAGTTTTTTGGCAGGTTAGTCCTTTGTCATTCTATCATTACTGGCTCTTTTCAATCCAATCTGCTTTCTTCCAACACATGAATTCTGGCAACCTCCATGGAAAGCCTATTATTAGAAATTGACACATTAAGTTTATTGTGAAAACATAATTACAAAAAACAACATGCATGCAGTAGGGAAAAAAATCCATGTTCACCTTTGCAAGGCCAATTTTTCATGTGTGTGAAATATATTTTGTCTTTGTAACATGCAATTCAAGCAGATGTGTGTGTGTGTGTGTGTGTGTGTGTGTGTTAATCATGAGTAATGTTGGTATTCTGGCCCAGCTGACAGCTCAAGAAGTAGTGTGGTGAGTGGGGAAGGGCTAGCCTTGGGAGTCAGTCAGACTTGGGCAACAATTCCAAATCCACTTACAGTTCTGTCTCATGTGACTGTAAAGAGAGTGTCTTAAATTTTGTGATTATCATTTTATTATTTTTAAGAATAGGATATTGACTCTACATTGGTGTCACTGTGGAAATAAGATTTTACATAATATATATGATTATATATAATATACATAAGATTATATATAACAGTCACATATATCCTATATTTATGTGTGTGTATACATATGTGTGTATATACATGTGTTGTGTGTGTGTGTGTGTGTGTGTGTGTGTAACTGTTCCTGGCACACAAGGTACACAAGAGATGTCTTTTTGCTTCTACTCCTTCTTTTGACTGAAGCATTCAGAAATAATACCAGAGTCCAAGCAGTCAGGAAATGTAGTAGAGGAGTGGTTCTCAATACTGCTTGTGTAACATCACCTGGGATCCTGTTAAGAAATATAAATTTTCAACCCAACCTCAAACTGGCTGAATCAAATTCTGGGAGTGGGGCCAGTGATCTGCTTTAACAAGCCTTCCCTGTGATTCTTATGCACATGAAAATTTGAAAACCATGTCCTAGAGGATTGTTAATAATTTTTGCTACATCCTGAATTTGCTAGTCTTGCTAGCAACTTATTCTAGGTGTGATGTCAATGTTTCCCCAAAAAGAGCATGTAGTCGTCCATTTTCCATTGCGAGTAACACAACACCACAGATTGCTTAAGTCATACAGAAAAGAGGTTTAATTTGACTCAGACTTCTGGAGGTACAGAGGCAAGGGTCCACAATTGGTGATGGCCTCCTTGCTGGTGGAGTCCCAAGACAGTGCAGGGCATCACATGACAAGGAGAAATAGCCAGTGCATGTGTGTATGCATATGCCTTTTGATCTCTTCCCCTTCTCATAAAGCCAGCAAGGATTTATTCAGGGGGACTCCACCCTCATCTAATCCTAATCACCTCCCAGAGGCACCATACTTAGTCTATGTCTCCAACCTCTTAATACCTCATAATGGGAATTAAATTCCAACACACAAGGTCTTAGGGGACAATCAAAACACAGCAGGAAGGAAGCCCACTAACTTCAATGGTCAGAGGTTGGAGTCCCAGAGGGGAAAAATTAGTGGCTTCTCCCTCTTGTTATAAGACTTAAAAATATATTATGGACATTTTCCCCTTCTTTACCCCCACAAGTTAACAATATTAACAGTAATTCTCTGAGGCAAGAGATAGAGCTGTGGTAACCAATACATTCTCCCAAACAACATTTGATTGAATACTCAAATCTGAAGGTACTTGTAGCACCATTTCCTATTCTGAGGTCATATTTTTAGAAATTCTTGAACAAATTGGGGGATATCCAAAGAAGCCAGGTGAAGGAGGTGAGGTATAGGAAAATTTTTCTTCATATAGGGAGCAGATGAAGGAGCTGGAGATTTTAGGCTCAAAGAATCCTCTAGAAGTTAAATGATTGCTATTTTCAACTTCCTGAGGGGTAAGAGGAAGCAGAGGTAGTCTCCTAGCTACAGAAGGCAAACCTGGGACCAACAGATTAAGTTATAAAGAGAAATTTTGCCAAGTACACATGAGAACCGCCTACCAATTTAGAATATTGAAAGAAAATGTTCAAGAAAAAGAAATAGAATGTACTAGGTCATAAGAAAAATTACAGGAGCCCTGGAGAAAGAAGAAAAGAAACTTGACAAGGAAGGGCATGGTTTAGCAAACCTTGTTGGAGTAGCACACATATCCCCTTGATCCCATTACCATTTTGGAACCCACCTACCCCAGGGACTTTTGTTCCTAGCAGCCAGCATTCCTTTGTGGGTGTCCACTTTACCTATGCATGCAAAGTGAAGTACAAGACCTACAATTTGTATCTTCCATGGACCACCCTTAACCAACCACTGAGGGGAGAGGTGGAAGCAAATGTACAAATATCCCAGATCCCTTTCCAGGTATGACTCACACCATTTCCAGAGTTCCTTTATTGATAGATCCACAGTTACTTTCTGTGGGACACTGCTTGGTGTCATGTGCTTTCTGGACCCCTACTTCTTTTTGTCTCATATCACAACCCCATACCTATCTCTTCTGGAAGTGCTTCCTAGTAAATCACTTTCTCATCTCAGGAGGAACCCCTGGCCTTGGAAAAAACACCCAAGATACACAACTGATGGATTCCAAGGAGGAGCACATGCGACATCCACAAAAGGCCACTTGTCATTCACTTGCAGGAGATCTATTGTGTTGATAGGTATGTCTGTCCAATGACACAACTGGAACCAAAACTCAGGAGAGCCTGACACCAAGATTGAATGTTTCAACCTCCACATTTCTGGTCTTTCAACACTGTTGTAGAACCTAAAATGAACTCCAGAGTCCTCTCAAATCCAGGATGCCACAGTTCAGAGCTACTGGCCACTTAAATCCTATCTGCATGTACCACCTAAATGTGAGATTTATTTGAAGAATTTGCTCTATTGAATTGATACTATTCTTTGTTATCACTATACCCTCAGGCTGGCTGTTGCCTACTATTCCCACCCACCTTCAGCTTTCAGCCACACTTCACATGGCTTGAAGCTATACTCAGCTGTGTTCTTCTCTTTCCTACACACATGCGATGGTCTCATGTCCCTTTCTTCACTCTACAACATCTCACACAGGAAGCTATACTTTTATGTGTGTTCGTGTATGTGGCTTGCCAGGGCTTGGCTGTCACTGAGCTTCTCACCTCACTTAGTTTCCAAAGCAACAAGAGAGATGCAAGCCATTGGCAGTTCCCCCCTGGAGGTGTGTTTCCCCCATAGGGACCAGCAGCATCAGCACCCTGGGAGCTGAATCAAATGCAGATTCCCAGGATACATCTTCTACCACGTGATTAAAATTCCTAGATATGGTGGGAGTGGATAGTGGCAGCCTCTTAAACAAGCTGTCTAGGAGTTTTTCATTCACTCACTCCAAAGTGGGGCTGCACAGTATGGTCAGCTAACCAGCAGCAGCAATGCCTGGGAACTTGGTACAGATGCAGACTCTCAGAATACACCCTAGACCTGCTGAATCTGAAACTGTGGATGGGGCTCAACCTTCCCTGTTTTATCAAGCTCTCTAGGTGATTCTGATGCATCATAAGATTTAAGAAGCACAGCTCTACAGTTCAAGATCCATTTATGTAGAATTTCACTTTATTCAGAAATATATCTCTTGTGTTCCAGGCATGTGAGACACTGTAGGCCCCATGAAGAGTCAGAGACCCTGCCCTTGAAGAGTTAAAACCTCAAGGAATTCTATAGCATGTTAGTGCTTCCATGTGTCATATACATTCCCAAGAAAATTCAGCCTTCATGGCCCTTTTCATGAGGTCTTTGCCCATTCTACTTCATTAAATTAGCTAAGTAGAAGAATCCAATACCAGTTCACACCAGTCCCCAAGTGACTGTTGCTAAGTTCCAGACCTCAGACCTTGTTCACAGTTTTACCAGTGGAATGGCAGGACATGCTATGGCAGCCTATCTATCTCCATACCAGTCCCACAACTCACCTCACAATGAAGTGGCTTGTCTTATAGTATCTGACTCCAAGGAATCAGCTGTCATCCACTTACTGTCATGTACAGAAAACAAAACCCATGATAATTTTTGGTGGCTAGACTTTCTTCAGAAAGACAAAACAGTATTCTGACATCAACATCAGAGTCTCTCATTCATCTTTCAAAATGACTGCATAGTGCAAAAAAAGTCATAGAATGGGAAGTTGCTCAGGTATGACAGCTGAGCGCAACCAGGCATATACTCATATAACAGTCTTGAGCTGTTAGTAAATGTGTCCAATCACACATGACTATTTTTTTAGTTGTTGATAGACATTTATTTATTTATTTATTTGTTTGTTTGTTTTTATATGTGGTGCTGAGAATTGAACCCAGTGCCTCGCACATGCCAGGCAAGTGTGCTACTGTTGAACCACAGCCCCAGCCCTGTAGAGCACTTTTTAAACTATTATTGTTCCAAAGAGATATTCTACTCTTTCCTGAACTATCCCTTTGTCTGACACATGAGCAGAATGTTAACTGTGCCAATGACTTC